CAAGTCTCAAGTAAGTCTCAAGTCTCAAGTCAAGTCTCAAGTAATGTCAGGCAAGTCAGAGTCGAGTCTCAAGTCACTGGTGTAAAAGTCCGAGTCAAGTCACAAGTCTGAAATTTGAATTTCAAGTCCTTTCGAGTCTTTAAAAAAAAAGAAAAAAAGAATGTTGCAGTTATGCTAAATGTAAATATTAGACCATGTAATTTTTAAATCTGTGTTTTTCTCAACACATGACAAAATAGTGAACTTAGAAAATATACACAAATTGTGAAATTGCACCTCTTTAAAATGCAGCTCAATTAAACCTAGCTCCAAGAATAATTTTCACCGACAGTTCTGAGATAAGCTGCATGTTATTCTTGGATGCGGTTGTAGGACCGGCTTTAAAATCGCATGACAAAAATATCATACACATTAAAAAAAACTGCATCACCAACGTAGCCTGGACAACATTTGCTAGTTAGATGAAGTCAGCTATCTCATCGTAGCATATTTATATGCATATTTATAATATACGGTTCTTGGAGTGAGTGCATACACTCATGAAGTTTAGTAACTTCAGGTCACTGCAACAAGCCCAGGTACAGTTTACCGACGGATGGGTGCAGGACCTTGAAATGCACCGTGTAGAACGAAAGACCATCGTACGTATCATAAGTTTACCAGTCTCACAAATCGTCGTCATAAATCTCCTCTTTTTTTCATCCTGAAAACAGAAATAATGTTCTGCTGGTAAATGATTGGAGGTGTGTGATGCACCACCACCTGTTACGTGCAGCGGTGCAGACAAAGGTGTGATATCCGTGCAGAAACTTCTGACCACAAAGTTTCTGTTGTGGGAGGCGTGTTATAAAAAGAGACGTGTGGAGTGGGGGGGTCACTGCAAGCCTGCAGCGTCTGTCCCACCATGATCTGCTGCATCCTTTACGTCTTTCTGCAAATCTCCCTCACAGGTAAGAAGACTGGCAGAGTTTCAATGACAGGATATTTTAGACCTGTGCTGAAATACAGTTTCCCACTTCTTTAAAGGCCAAAATGAAGAATTTTCTGTGGTCGCTGTTTCGATTTGACCTTTGCTCTCCTGTAAGGGGCTGCTGAGAGCGGCATAGTCGGTGGCAGGGAGGCAAAGCCCCACTCCAGACCGTACATGGTGTCAGTCCAGTATCGGGGAGTACATTCATGTGGAGGGATCCTTATTCAGAGGGACTTTGTTCTGACTGCAGCTCACTGCAAGTACGCTTTTTATATGGTGTATATATATAACTGTTTTTGTCTAACGGTGTTGGAGCGCTGCAACACACTGAGAAGACTGCATGGACCTTCATTTGTGTCGATATTATGATTCACACCATCCGTAGTATCAGTGCGACTGCAGACGCTTCTTTGAACATTGTGTTTCTTGTTGTTCAGACATGAGACCTCAGGTTCTTGCACCGTGGTGCTCGGAGCACACGACATCACCAGGGAAGAGAGAACTCAGCAACGCATCGAAGTGGACGAGTATTTCGCTCATCCAGGGTTCACTGGACAATACGAATATGACATCATGTTACTGAAGGTAAAACTAAGAGTGTTTAAAGCTTCATAATAAAATGAATATTTAGGCTAACCTCACTGTGAAGCACTGTTGGCAGTATATCTGTCACGCTGCATTATGCAGTGAGGTAGGAGATATTATTTTAACCTAAAATCAGGAAGTAACTGCTCTCTCAAACACACTTTGTCCACAGTTGAAAAAGAAAGCCAAACTCAGTAAGAACGTGAAGACCATCGGCCTGCCTGAAGGAAAAACATCAGCTAACATGAAATGTGCTGTGGCAGGCTGGGGATGGACTACAGCTCATGACTGTCCCTCAAATGTGTTAAAGGAAGCCACAGAGAACATAGAGGCCACGTCTAACTGTGAAAACATTTGGCAACAATATTTTAATTCTGATCACATGATTTGCACCAACTTTACCAAAAAGAGTGGAGGCATCTGCCGGGTATGTCACATGTGAAGCAGACTAACTACTGAACGTTTAGTGATGAATAATAACTGTTACTGACTGAGGGAAGTTTTTCTGTTGCCTGTTTTGTAGGGAGACTCTGGTGGACCACTCATCTGCAAGAATAAGCTTCAAGGTGTAACAGCTTACACCTCACCAGAGGACTGCACTGATCTCAGCTACCCCCACGTGTTCACCAAAGTCCGTTTCTTCATCCCCTGGATCAAGGAAACAATGAAAAAATAACGGATTTTTTTCAGGCATTAAAGTTTCAACATGGTTAATGTGAAACGTCTGTATGTTTGAATAAAAAAGAAGAAGTGTCCTGAATGACCGAGAGAAGTGAAACTGAACCAATGTTGTGTTGGTAAAACAAACCAATCTTTTCAGTGCTTTAACTGTAGTTTTGTCACAGCTGAACTGAGGTGAACTAAACTCGGTTCTCTTGTTAACGACTAAATAATAAAGCTTGAAACATTTTTGGCCTCTCAGAATCTCTTTTTTAAATTGTTTTTTAAAATAAAATAAGTTCAACATTTCAGAGACTCTTGTCACGACTCTTTTTCCCTTTGCTCTGCTCACCACACTTCAGATGGGCGAGCGTGCATGTGCGTCTTTGTGTCGTTTATGTGTGTGTGTGTGCACGGCCGGGCTTGGTTCTGAGGCTGGCTGAGCTCTGCAGGGTGGGCCCTGTGGGGCTGAATCAATGGCATCATTGATCTTCGCACAGAATATCAAAGAACCATTAAAAGTGTTCATATTTTTCTTTTTTGTTTTTACATTAATTGATTTTTAACATGTTGTTTTTGAAATATTATTTTCTTCTTTATACATTTTTCATCCACATTTTCACAGTTTTGTTCAGATTTTGCAGATTTTTCTTTTTCGGGTAGTTTTTACCAGCCGACCATTAAACGTGTTAAAGCCTTTGAGTTTGTCAGTGCTGAACAAGGTCAGAGGAAAAGAACAGGAAAACCTGGGATCACACCCCGGATACGGAACAATTCAAAACTGGGAAACATGTGAAAGCAAGCAGACAATAACACACACATGAGAAACTAACAGTGTGGTTGGATAAATGAAAGAAGGTAAGGCCTTCCAGGCCGGGACACACCGACACTAAACTGAATGAAAACAAAACTGTGACACAAACAAAATGGAAAATAGATTTTTAAAAACACAAACCCTAACCAAAAACAAAGATGTGATGAAGAGGGATGGATGGAAGAAGGTGGACTAACAAACTGAGGGACACTGTGATTCCAGGGAGGACTGTCTGCAGGTTTTCCAACACTAAATCCAGAATCCTGGAGACAGGAGACAGACAAAGGGCCTATTAGAGGACGCCGGGCCCTCAGGAAGTTGTTGTGGATGTTTATGACATATATACCTGTGTGCACCAGACATATACTCACATATACACTATGTAATCATATATACTCGTATCCTCTCTCTGTACATCTGCACTGGAGTGTTTATATAAATGGAATCACATTGATAAGCTTTTAACCTGCATGTTTAAAATCCCAAGATCCACATCTTTAGATCAAATATTATTCACAAGTATGGGCTGGGCTGCAGCTGGGCGCCTCTCTGCTGCCAGCAGGTGGTGAAGCATCCATCTCTACCCCATAAAGTAAACACACTTTGCCTGAGAGTGCACCTGGGACACTTGTTTCCCACCTGCAGTTGCCAAAACTGTGAAAAACCCTTCTTTAACGAGTATAGTAGCCCACCCCTGACAGCGTACCCGACAAAGCTGTCAGGAAGAGGAATTGTTTTCTCTTTGCTGTATGTTTGATAGTTTTCCAGAGTTCTGGTCTTAAAACTGTCAAAAAAGACCCAAATAAATGATTGATGTTGGGAACAGCTCGGAGAGTGATGGATGTGCCAGAAGGTTATGTAACACCAGGTACGGAGATTTAATCAGAACAAAGTGCAAAATTGACAATTGACTGGGGCTCGCTTCACTTTGCTTTTCTGCTATTATTTCTCTGTAAATGTACGTTTCTGCTGTTCATGTGCTTTTGTGTATTAAACTCATTTACAAGAATTCTAATCTTTTCCAGAGGATCTTTTTAAATACACTGAAAAAAGTTGGATCACCACATCGTTGGTGGGATAAGGTTATCAGGATGGCTTCAAAATTTGTGACCACAAAGTCTGTTTCTGATTGTTCGGAGACATTCACACCAGTCGTCTGCTGGAGGTCGTTTTGCCGGGCTCTGGAACCTCCTTCTTGATCCTGAGATTGTGCTGAGAGACGCAGTGTCGCTGCTGAAAGTGCTCATCATCTTCCTCCCACTGATGGGTAAAGGCTCTGTCTGTCTGTGGGTGTCATGTTCCTGGAGCATGCATGTCCACCCACACATCACTGAACTTTTCCTTAGAATCAAACTAATAACTGTTTGCAGAAAACGCCTCCAATTCCACGGAAACCACAAATACTCGTCACAATTTTATGGCTTTTCTGTGGAAATATATAATTTTTTAAGTAATTTAAAGCTAAATTATTGAAAACAATATAGTTTACTGAAGAAATGACTATTATGTATATATATTAAACACACACAGATAGATAGATAGATAGACAGATAGACAGATAGATAGACAGATAGACAGATAGATAGACAGATAGACAGATAGATAGAAACAGACAGATAGATAGATCAGAGAGTAGATAGATAGATAGATAGATAGATAGATAGATAGATAGATAGATAGATAGATAGATAGATAGATAGATAGATAGATAGATAGATAGATAGATAGATAGATAGATAGATAGATAGATAGATAGATAGATAGATAGATAGATAGATAGATAGATAGATCTCCTGCATCCAGCATCAGCGCTCATTATGTTCTGTATATTCATGTCCATCTCACATCACTGACATTTTTCTTTAGAAACAACCACCAAGCTCCGGAGAGAATAGAGTGGCAGAAATGTGTGTAAGGTTCACAGTGAGAGGTGTGATCACCTTTGTGTGCACTGTGGTTAATTTGGCCTTGACACACACTTTCCATTCGGGTATTTACCACCAACCCAGACGGCTTACTTTAAAGCACATGCAGTCAACAGGCAGCCGATGAGACAAACCCTCAGGATCAATGTTCAGGGTCTCATAAAACCACAGACAGTATAAAATATATTGTGTTTATATATAATTGAAAATATGAATATATGATACCTGGCAACTTGAACAACCACGGCAGAACAAGGCTAACGGCCAGATTAAAACACTGCACTCCCAGACTACTGCAGCCACTGACGACGTATCAGGTCTCACTCAGTCATGCCAATCGACTGGAGAGGCTGGTGAGCTCCTACGCGAGCACGTGGCTCGGACTTCCCAAATGCCTCAGCAGTGTTGGACTCTATACTGTCATTGCCTATCACTAGTCTGGTAGAGGACATTAAATGTGCAAAAGTGAGGCTTGAGATGTCACTTACAGACTCCCGAGACCCCGGCCACATCTGTGCTACAGGTCAAATCTGCTCTTCACCGTCGTGATGTGGTGGGTCACGTCCAGCAGGGCAGAGGAGGATTTGGTCTTGGAGCAGTAACACCTCGGTGGCAACAGGCATCTGTAACCGAAGGTTGAAAAATGGTGGTGGAGGAGGTGCGTTGGCAGGAGGAAACAGCCAGACATGCCAGAGCCGTAGCGCTGGCCAAGCAGGGTCGCTGGATGAACTGGGAGAGTGTGGGAAAGAGGAAACTCTCATGGAGTGAAATCTGGGGGATGGAGTCTAATAGACTACGTTTCATCCAAGCGACATACGATGTGCTGCCTTCCCCAATGAATCTGCAGCTGTGGTTTGGAAAGGACCCATCCTGCCCCCTGTGTACAGTCTTTATAGTTCTCCTGGTCACGTGCAGCTGTTGCTGCCTTCCCTGTATCAGACGGCTGACCGAGAGGGTGATAGCAAGGGCCATGGACGCGGGACTGGAAGGCCCCGCACCCATGATGCCGTTGTTGGAGGTGAGATCGGCCGAGCTGGCAGGGGAGTAGCGGCGTCAGCTGTATTGTGACTTTCTTCGAAGGTGGAGAATATATAATGAAGTAATATTTTAGCAAAGGCCATGTTAATCCAGCTGCTAATGAAATGTGCAGGATTATAGGGTATTACCAGAAGTGTTTTGCTTGTAACAGTGCACACGTCTGCCCAGTGACAGTCAGAGTAAGATGTAAGAAAACACATTCTCTAGTGCTTATTGGCTGTGGATTTTGTTTTTCCGTGATAAACTGTATCAGAGGTTATTGCAATGCTTAGCCAGACTGAAACTGTGCAGAACTGGAGGCTTTGTGCAGACCTGCAGAGAACGTTGCCTATTTTTACTTTGCTAAAAGAGAATAAGAAGAAACAGATTGGGGGTGAAAGAGCATTGAGACTGTAAGTGAAGTGCAAACATGAGTGCCTTAGAAGGGGTTGAACTTAACTGTCACTGTTGCAGGATAATAAACTTTGCTTATGCAGACAGGGCAGGTTTAGCCCTTCAGCCCTTAAAATAGTGGAGCCTGTGTGCTTCCTCTATGGAGATCGACACAGAAGGTGGTATTGTGTACATCCCCCCATGCATGTGCTTAATAAATCATTGTTGTTGACTGAACCTGCTCTGAGTTTTGGTTGTTCTTTCTCAGCACATCAAGAAAGAATCGGGACACCAGCCACACTCAAGCACATGTTGGATGGTTGTAGGACTAGCCGTACTCAGGTCAGATCTACACGGAGACACAACCAGGTCCTCAGGTGTGTAGCCGAGAAAGTTGAGAGCAAAAGAAAATCCATCATTGCTCAACCTTTCACCAACCAAGAGGAGCGTCAGTATCCATCAGCATTTGTCTTTTGTTAAAAAGGGCTGACATCCCTTGTGCAGCTAAGGCAGTCAGCTAACCGCGAGACACGCCCAGGATTGATCAACCCGTGGTGGGCCTGCCTCAACAGGGGGCTTCAAAATCATAGAAAGCCCAACACTAGAATTTTCACTCTTCTCCCCTCTGCTCCTCCCTTTTTCTGGGAGGCAGAGGGGAGGTAGAGCGTACAGCAGGATCCGGCGGGAGGTGTGGGATGCCAGATCAGGCGCCCCCCTTCCGGCTCTCCTCGCTCCTATCTTGTCTCTTTTGTCTTACTTCTTGCTATCACCTTTTCTATCCCTTTGAAGAAGTGAGGCTCTTTAAATATGAAAGAGATAAGTAGAACTTTTGTGGTGAATTGATAAAATAAACTGTAGAAAACTAAACAGCAGAAAGAAGAAGAGAAATAACATTATAACATAAACCAGTGACAGGGCCTCCTTGGGTGAGTGTCTAGTGATAATGGCCAAAACACCCGAGGAATCCAACGTCCACTACTGACGATGTGTCCTAAAATTTTAATATGACAATCCAGACTAGATTCCTAATCTCTAAACCCAACCAAGGAAGGTAAAGAGAAACTAAAAACTGGCAGAACAGCTTGTGATAAAAGACCGAAACAGCCTGTGAAGTTGAGGCACACAACGATGTCCCGCTGGTAAAGTTTCCTCATAGCAGCAATC